GTCACTTTTCTACCTTTTATACTTTCTTTGTAGATAATCTGTCTTTTCTCTCATTTTATCATGCTGTGTTTCCACATGGATTTATCTGGATTTTATACAGTAGACAGTATATTGTCAGTCTGAAGAATCATGTTTTTCCTCAAATATGAAAAATTTGGAATATGGCATTAAGCTAATGTGTATATATTGAAAACTCTTCTTTTTTGAGCATATCTAAAAGCTTTTCAGGAAAAAGCTTAAAATTATACCATCTGTTATCCACAGGTAGTTTCTTTATCTGTTGTAAGTAAACAATCTATCAGCATAAATATATTGACTACCTGCCATTCATTCATGTTACAGACATTTAATGATGCCTTAAGGGACTCCCTGAGCAGTCTAGTGTAATAGAATTCTTACCCTTATGAAGAGCGCTGTTCTCACACAGTTAGAAAACCAAGGTGGTATGTCCTGAGTACTTTATGAACTGAATTAAATACTGTATAATTTCAGAACCAAGTTCCCATTTAGTAAGAAAAATAACAGATGCTATTTAAAAAGCACATTTCTTTAAAAATCACACTGCCTTTTCTATTTATAAGATTCTTACCTGTTGCTTAAAATTTAGAAATGAGAGAAACATATAAAAAGGAAACATGAAAATTTTCATCATCTCCTACAAAAATTGATACATTTTGCTAGATTTCCTGCCAATCACACTCTCTCTCTCTCTCTCTCTCTCTCTCTCTCTCTCTCTCTCTCTCTCTCTCACACACACACACACACACACACACACACACACTTGAAATTTCATGGACAGCTGTGGAAACTATTTTTTACTTTATATATTATACTTTCTGATGTTGTTACATGATCTTCAAAATTACTGTAATGTTGCCATGGGATCCCAGTTATGTTTAATGCATTTCCCCATTCCCCTAAAGTCTGAACTGGTTTCTGTTTTTCCCTGTTATAGAGAATGCTGTCAGGGCGTGACCATGAACCTTTAAGTGATCCTATGACTATGCTCAGTACCTTTATGGGATCCTATGACTGTGCTGTTTTCCAAGCTTCGCTTCATCCTGTGCCAATTTCCTTTAGAAGAGGATGCACCATTTCCCTTCCCACTCTCAGTAGAGTGCCCACTGACCATGTCCCTCTCCTCCCTGATGTCCTTCTCTTTACAAATTGGAAAGCACACAAGGGACAGTGAAACAGTACGTTTTCCTTCTCCAAGGCCCTAGACCAGGGGTGGGGAACGTCTGGCCTGCTGTATCATTTGGTCTGGCCCTACCAAGGCAACCACAGGCAGGACTTGGAATTCAATAAATCTAGGAGCTTTTTTCATAGCAACCTAATTTTTAAGTTAATAATTTTGTATGGCCTGGGAATGATGTTATAAATATCCAAATGGCCCTTGGCAGAAAGAAAGGTTCCCCACTCCTGCCTTAGACATTTCTATTTAGGCTTTCCCCAGTTATTTTATATTAAATATGGCTTCACCTTAAACGAATTCACTTGCCAAAGTGGTACATTCCTGGGGAGGCCTGTTCTGAATCCCTTTACATTTCTGTCTCTAAATTTCCCTTCAGTTCCATTATCAATGGGGAATCCATTGCTGTGATGTTTGTTTCTTTCTCAGGAATATGGAATATAAAATAGGGAATATGTTTGAGAGTAATGTAGGTGTAAAGACAAAACTTAGAATTCATTGTTCTTGCTATATATTTGGGAAATGATAGTAGAACATCAATAGGTATAAAGTAAGACTGGAGTCAACCAGGCTTGTTCATTTATTTCTTCAAGACACTTAAAAATACTTAAAGTTCTTTTTACTTAGCCTACTGGATGGAGATTCAAACACTGCTCTGCTGTATGCAGTGATTTAATCCCAGAAACTGTGGGATACTAAATGTGAGGTCGAATCATGCTTTACAGTGGTCAGTGGCTAAGAGGGAATTAATAGACTTTTCTCCTGTTTGAAGGGGCTATTTTACTGTTGAAGGCATCTTCTCGCAACTCCTGCTGCCATTTCTAGTTTAAATAGGCACATTCCTTTCAGTTAGAATTTAAACAGTTCTGATTTGGACATGTGGATCATATTTCAACATTTAAAAAATCAATTTGGGACCCATTCCTCTGTATTTTAGAATCACTTTCTGATGTATCCTCTTACTCAGCTCACATCACTGGAATGGGATTCAAAAAGGAAATGTCTGTTTATTTTATTCACTTTTCTTCAGGAAGGATAGTGGTGAAGTGAATCATTAGCACATTATATTTCCCAATAGCTCTTTGACCTTCATCTCTGGGGGCTGTGAAATCAATGGGAGAAGCCATGAAAGATTCATATTACTGTGAATGTTTCAAGGAGAAATTAATGCAGTATTTGTAGACTAGAGTCAGAAATCTAAGACCAATAGAGATGTGTGTGCCATTAGCATCTTCCATGTGTAGTACACATGTATCAAGAAATAAATACAGCTGGTCTCTGGGTTCTGATCATTCTTTTATCGTGTTTCCCTGAAGAGAGAAGAAGTAGAAGGCATGGAGTTGCTCTCACAATGGTTTACTTCCTCTTATGATGGAATCTATCATTTTATGATAATGGGACAGTTACTGGTCAGTAGGGAGGCTCTGGTTAATGGTCAAAGGAAATATTAGCATGAAGAGACCTGTATAGTAGTTGCAGGGCCAGCCCCAGAGAGCAACATTTTAGGGATGTGGATAGATGGTGGGCAAAAAATGGGTTCCATGGCCAAGTGTGTGGAACATACCAAGTTAAAAACAACAAAAACAGGAGTCCACGTGCTTGTGTTTGTAGAATACGCAGTGTTTCTCAAACATATTTTGCCACAGAACCCTTCCTTTAGCAGAAACAAAGTAGTTAAACTACTTTGGGTAAAATTGCTGTAGAATGTTGCCCTTCAAATATTTTTTCTCTCTCACTTATCTCCTACAGTAATTTTGAAAAACTTAACATTTTTTAAACTGACATTTACATTTCTCCCATAAAAAATTAAATGGACACAGTAGATTTATGCACAGGGTATTTATATTAGATATGTACTTTAAACATATTTTTATCAAAGCCTCAGAGCTGGCTTGAATAAGCAGAGTTGGCTTATTCGGTTTACAAATTATGTCTGCTGTAATTTGTAAACCTAATTGACAAAGCCATACCACCGCCTTGTTATTTTTAAAAAAAAATGTATTTTTATTGATTTCAGAGAAGAAGGGAGAAGGAGAGATAGAAACATCAGTGGTGAGAGAGAGAGAGAAAGAGAGAGAGAGAGAGAGAGAGAGAGAGAGAGAGAGAGAGAGAGAGAGAGAGAGAGAGAGTCATTGATCGGCTGCCTCCTGTACTTCCCATACTGGGGATCAAGGCTGCAACCCAGGCATGTGCCCTGACCAGGAATCAAACCATGACCTCCTGGTTCATAGGTTGATGCTCAGTCACTGGGCCATTCAGCCAGGCCTTTTAATGAAACAAATTGGATGTACTACTTTTTCTGTGGCTCTCTCTCTAGAAGGATAACTGTTCTTTTGTTTGGTGCCTTTGGGAATTTGACACTGTGAGGCAATGCACCTAGAAAACCTAGAAAGAAATTACAAATGGGCAAGAGATGACTTGTCTTTGTAAGGAGGAAGAAGGCACAGAGTCAAGGGAGAGACAGGAGAGGAAGGTGGGCAGATGTGTTCTTAGGTTAATCACTTAGAAAAGGAAAATAGAAAGACCCTAGATATAAAATTTGATTCCCTTAATAATATCCAAGCAGGTATGTACCCTGTGGATTATTGTTGAGTGACTTCAAGGGTATGTGTGTCCAATGTGCAGCTGCTCCTGTGGAAGTTTAAGAAATACATAATTCATTCTCCTTTTAGAGAACGAATTCCTCCGTTAGCTAAAGAAAGAGATCCCTATTCAAGAGCCAAAAGGTTTGTCTGGCTAGGGAAAGAATTTACCTCCAGAGGTATTTCTTTCTGCTTTTAAGGAGAAGTTACATGGCTAAATTGTTTGATGGAATGTCTTTCCATCAGCAAGCACTGAATATGCTCACAGAGGCATCACCAGAAAGCTTCATATTTTCACACAGCACAGAGACCTTCATGTGCTGTTCTCACCTTGGACCTAATTCCTGTTGATTACGGGACATGTCTCATTTCCTGTATGAATTTGCGTCACTAAGAAGACAATAAATGATTAAACACACAGGATACATAAAAGTGTGTTTATTTCCCATAAGGGCACTTACATGATTTACAGTATATTATCCATAAATGTCACATTTTTTTCCCCCACCTTGGCAACTGGCAGATTATTTTGAAGTCAGAGTATTTAAGTGAGAAGTAATCATGAGGATTATCTGCTTCAGCCCTTTTGTGTTACAAGAGAGAAACCCTAGATCGACAGAAATTAAGTGACTTGTTTGAGTTAACAATTTAGCATCTTGCATAGACCAAAACAGGATTGTAGTGGGATAGTTTTCCCATTAAATTTCCCCACTCCCCCTTAATTATTAAAAATAATATGATCTTGAACAAAATTATCTCTATCAATGATTCGTTCTCATTATTGATGTTTTTATCTCTCTTTCCCTCTTTCCCTCTCCCTTCCTCTCTGAAATTAATAAAAAAAATATTATTTAAAAGATCTTTATTTACTACTAGAGGCCCAGTGCATGAAATTTGTACACTGGCAGGGTCCCTAGAAGCTGCTGGCTGCCAGGCTGGGGCCTCCCTTTCTCGGCTGCCAACTGCTGGCTGGGGCCTCTTTTTCCCAGCTGCTGGCTGCTAGCTGGGGCCTTCCTTTGTTCCGCGCCACCCCTTGTGGTCAGCACACATCATAGCAAGCGATCTAACTTGCAGTTGGTCGAATTCCCAAGGGGACGCTTTGCATATTATGCATATATTTATATACAAGAGATTATGATGAAAAAAGAAAGTGAATGCATTTTATAGCCAGAATCTGTCCAGCAGGAGATGAATGCTCCTTCTAAAAGAGTTGTGTTTTCCTGCAGACATTAATGAATGCCAGCTACAGGGTGTGTGCCCCAATGGTGAGTGTTTGAATACCATGGGCAGCTATAGATGTACCTGCAAAATGGGATTTGGGCCGGATCCTACTTTTACAACTTGTGTTCGTAAGTAATGATCACTTTTTATTCTCATTTTGGATCAGGGGTTGGGGTGGGAGGTTATGCAAAATAAGATAAATGCTCAGCGGCTAACTGAACATTGTACAAATGCAGGAAAAACCTCATTAATATCACCAGCGGGAGGAAGCGGGGCTGACGTATTACAACAGAACTAAAAATGCATTTTTATTGCATTCAGAAAAATGTAATAGCCAGAAGTCAAGGTAGAGAGCAGGCACGCCGAGGAAATGGAGCTGATGAAGAGAAGAGAGCTCATTACAGTGAGCATACCTGAGAGATGAAACGTTTTTTTCCTTCACGAGTATTTTAAGCATTATTTAGGCCGAGTTCAACTTTCTCCCAGCTTCTGTTTTTAATTAGTCCAAATTCTGAGTCACTAGTGTTTGATTTAATGAGGTTTCACTGTACTTTCTTAGTTGGAGCGTCTGGGAAATAGTTTTGGATAATATTCTATTCCGTTGTCCTCAAAAGCCACCAAAATACATCCCCGAAGGCATACGCTTTTGCCTAATAAATATTGTCTCTAAGATTTCCTCTTGTATCTGGTGTGGGTAAAAATCCTCCATCAAACCACATATGCTAATGTTGGACAGGAAATATAGTTTCTCCGAAAACTCTCTCACCGTGAAATAGAATCCGGTGTAATCACTGCATCACCTGACAATTAGAGAGGCAGGCATTTTAGGCACAAAATTCTCAAATGCAGGATTTTAAAGGTTATCTTTTTTAAATGTTCTCATGCTCATTATTACAACATAGGTAAGCAATGCAGATTTTTCAAAGCCGCATACAACTGAAGTTTAAACATTTTAAACTAACATAAGGCAGAAAACTATTAGGATAATTTTAAGAACAATTCTGTATTAATTTCTGTCCTACAAAGTTTGGTTCTTATTTATCTGTTTTTAATGTGGCTTTGGTGTATGTTAAGCTGCACCCTACCGGGCCCCAGTTTTAGACTTGCCATTTGGTCAGAACATGTTCTTCATGATGATCCATTATTTGCTTTCAATTGTGCATTTACCTCTAACTCTGTGCCTTACGCCAGTGGTCGGCAAACCACTGGCTTAAGGCACATGTGGCTCTTTGGCCCCTTGAGTGTGGCTCTTCCACAAAATACCACTGCCTGGGCGAGTCTATTTTGAAGAAGTGGCATAAGAAGAAGTTTAAGTTTTAAAAAGTTGGCTCTCAAAAGAAATTTTAATCATTGTACTGTTGATATTTGGTTCTGTTGACTAATGAGTTTGCCAACAACTACACTAAGTTGAGACCACAGACATGAAAAACAAGTGTCATAAAATAAAAATGACAGGCTCATTCATTACTTTTAGATGAGTTTGTTGAGTCTTTGGGAACATTGTTACTAATTACTACTATTTTCCTTTAAAAACTGCCGAATGCAGATTAGGAAATTTTGCACGTAAGTTCTTTTTTTCCATGTTCTTTCACATAATTCTGATCACGAGCTGACAGACAGTTATAGAGAGTTTTATCCAGTGGTAAAGTTAAGACTGTAAAGTTATGTTTGCATACGAGGTATATTTGAAAATGGATGCAAGACTTTGGAAATTTCAGGCCAAAAATCACATTGTTGACAATCCAGAAAATTTAGAGATAATTTCTGGTTGATGTGAATTACATGAGTCAGTAAATTAAATAGCTTTATAATTTAAGTGTAAAAGATTTTTAAGAGTTTGGATATAAAATTTGTTGAGAATGTTTTTTCTTAAATAATTTGACTTGTTTTGTTTGAAATCACTACATTTGAGGTTGCAGATGAGTAAACTTGGAAACTGGTTGCAAAGTGTTTTATTAAACTTTGACTAGATTGGTTGTCTAGTGTTAAGGGCAGACATCCAGGTTTTAGTGAGATTGTTGAAATCTGCCATGAGATTTTTGAAACACTTACACATTTCCTTAGCATTTATTTCCCCCTGTCATTGCTGAAATAATACTGAACTTATTAAACCACCATCCGTTCTTATTTGAAAAAATAATTCAATTTTATGGTTCAGCTACAACAGCTGAAATGATAACTATTGGGAGATGTTTGTTGCTAGTTAAATATTCCAGTTTAGAGTTTGAAGTTAGAACCTGGGCTCTGTACCAGTATGTAGCGGGCAGATTTATTTCTCTTGTCTCGGAATTTACCACGTGTAACATCGTAGAGATTTGTACAGTCCTTCAGGGTTTGTGACTTGGTTTGATCCAGTTGGACTTGCTGGTGAACTAGATTTTGACGAAATTGATAAGGAAAATCTGAACACAGATGAGAAGAATCAGGGAAAAAGGTGATAATTACAGAGTAAGGAAAAAATTGGCAAGGTGGTACCCTCCATGGTTATGGGGATATAGCAGAGAGTGGACACACACACATACACACACACTAGGTTAACATTTGGAATATACCTTCTTGAGGGACATAGAAACAGCCATGGATAAGAGTCTGCAAGCCAACTGCAGGAAATTGACCACATCTTCTCAGACAGCATGAGTTTAGGCCATACCCAGGCCAAAAAAGGTGCGGCTGACTCTGTGAGCTCAAAGAAATACACTTGGCAACAGCCGAGGAACAGTGGGAAGCTCTCCCTGTTCTCAAATGCACCCTCCGAATTCCTTGACTCCAGCCAAAGGTTGCAACCATTTCTCTTTCTCTCCTTGCCCTGCTCTCTGCCCTTGACTTAGCCAAGCTCCAAGAAGGGAAGTGGGAGGGTCCTGGCACTGGCTGCATCTCACCTCTCTGTCTGTGTAGCTCAGGATGCGGCAGCGGCGTTTTCCAAGCCTGCCCCTACCTACGACTAGGGAAAGGTGACATTTTAGGACGTGTCAGAGCAAATCTAAGAAAAAGTATAATAACCTTTTGCATTTCGAGTGGGAAAACTTTCTGACCTGAGCGGCAGCTAATTTTCCTCAAGAATTCAAGAACTTCAGGATGAGTGCTGCAGGGGGTGTGTCTATAGGTTCGGATAAAAGAATTCTGAGCCTGGGCTTGGCTGCTACATAGTCTTCCCGAGCTATGGACTTGGTGCTCATGGCCAGAAATAAAAGGTCCTGGAGAAGATGTGCTCAGGAACTTCTGCCAGAGCCCTTAAAGTCATGAGATGAAGGACAATTCCCTTCAAAGCCAATCAGGTTGATGCATCTCATTTCGTTTTAATTTCCCTGGCACCTTTATGAGATAGGTGTTGTTCTCATTGTACTCATTGGGGGGACTGAAGTTAGGAGAGTCTAAGGAACTTCTCTAGGTCATACAGCAAGTAACTGACGTTGGAGATTGAAAACTGGGTTCTCTGCCTCCATGTTTAGGGTCCTAGATCAAGTTCATGGTAATTATCCTTCACATTTGAATTGATATTAGAGCAGCATGTCTTTGAAAGTATAGTCAGAATGTATTGTGTGACCCTATAATATTACCAACATTGGAAGAGTCTGTAGTATTGCCCAGCACATGGTGGGCATTGAGTTTGATGGCCCGGCCGTCTGCTGGCAAAATTCTCTTTTTTGGGAGGAGATCAATTTCTCTTGGGGAGATCAGATCTTTTTCTTTTCATATGGATGAGGCCCACCCACATTCTGGAGAGTAATCTGCTTTACTGAAAGTCTGCTACTTTAAATGCTAATCTTGTGTACAAAGAAAAAAAAAAAAAAAAAAAGCTTTACAGCAGCATCAAGACCTGTGTTTGACCAAATATTTGGGTACCATGGCCTAGCCCAGTTGAAATGACCATAAACTTAACCCCTAACCAGTCACGGTGACTTCCCTTAAGCTATATTAATGGCAGGTGGTAGATCTTTTCACTCTGCTACATAGCATCTCGATTTAATTGTGGTGTTTCTTGTAGCATCTAATGAGCCATCATATGTGCCCTCTCTCCCCAGCAGAGGGTGTAACGGTTAGATTCAAGAAGTCTTACCTATTAAACTTAGAGTAGAAGGACCATCGGGAATAGGATTTAGGCATTGGAGGAATGTAGGCTGGTGGGCTGTTGCAGTGTTTTTCTTCAGGGTTGAGCCCTGATCCGCTGTCGGGCTGGACTCGGGGGCCCTGGTGGCACTGCAGGTCAGAGAGTTTGCTGCTGCTCTTTCCTTGTTCGCTGTCCCAGGGTGAAATCTGATGGGGCCCTGCAAGCTCTCATTGTCCTCTAAGCAGAGAGAGAAACCGCAGCTGGCTTGCAGCATCCACTGTGTTCAGGTTGTGAGCTTCCATGATGCCTGGTTGCTCACCAAATTCTTCCCTAGAGCGACCTATGTTACGGCCATCTACAAGAAAACAACCACCGTGTAGTGATCTTGCTATTAGGTGATGAGATCTGTTTGGGCAGGTGGATTTTGGGTGAAATTGTTTCTTTCCACTTTTAGGCCCACATACCTGATTTAATGCTTTCTCTAAAATGGGAGGAGGGACTGAACTGGAAAACGCATTTGGGAAACTGACTCTAAATGAAGAAAGGCTCTGTCCTAAATCTAGCTAGATGTGTTCGGAAGTGTGGTTTCTGACCCAGACTCTGTGGTGGTTTTTACTGTTACGTGAAAAGTCCACCTGGTTTCTGTTGTTTCTTGGGTGACGTGGGGCCTTGTCTCTCTGCTTCAGCGGATACCCCTGTGATCTCGGAAGAGAAGGGGCCCTGTTACCGACTTGTCAGTTCCGGAAGGCAGTGCATGCACCCTCTGTCTGTTCACCTCACCAAGCAGCTCTGCTGTTGTAGCGTGGGCAAGGCCTGGGGCCCCCACTGTGAGAAATGTCCCCTTCCAGGCACAGGTAAGACATGCTCAGCTGTGCACTCGCGTTCATTCCTGGCCACACAAGTACATGGGACAACTCTGGCCGCTAGAGTTCTTTTTTCTTGTCTCTGATTCTAAATTTAGTTTTTAATAACACAGTGTGTTTTTGTTAATTCTGTGGAAACCATGAACATAGAAGGATAAACTATAAAAAAAAATGACATGCAAAGAGATTTCCAATTATGTGTAACATTAGGCTTCCTTTTGAATGTCAAGAAGAGCCATTATAGTTCATCATCACTCTGGGACTCGAAGGCTGCCTTTTAAAAGGGTAGTGAGATCAGAAGTCCCTGCTGGGCCATGCGCTTTCCTAACCATGTGCCGCTCACCACTGCACAGTAGTTGGACCTTGTGTGGGTTGCCTCAGTCACTCATTTATGGAAGGTGTGCTTGTCAGAATCTGTTATAAACATTGTATTTACTTTCTCCAATTAGAAATGGAGGTAATTTCAGTAACTCAAGGGCAGACCCTGCCACAGTCCCCATGAACTTCTAGGGGGGAGCTGAATATGAACAAGTTGATTAGTCTTTAACCTTCAATTTGGTACATAATTACCTAATGCCCCAAAAGAGTAAATCTGTATACATGGCCTTAATTTTACCAAGAAGTCACCAGTTTCTCATTCAGGGTCAAACAGAGTTAAAATGAAATAAAAAGAAACATGCCGAGCAAATACTGAGCACCATGATATTATCAAAGAAGGAGTGGTCTTCATGTCACTGGTGTGAGATGGACATAAAAAGTTTGCTCAGTTGCATATTTAAGAAGATGCATACATTTTCACAGGGCCATTGCAATCTTAAAACCATAACTTATACTGTGGCAGACAGGGTTAAATGTAAATTTAAATATTATGATCCATTTTTGGTGTTGGGTAGGATCAGGAAGAACTGGTAAGGCACAGGGTAGTGTAATGCTGATGGTATTTTGGTAAACCAGATCATTCTAGACATTTCCAAAAGGTTCTATTTCTCTCATATAGGACCTGATCCACTCGTTATTAAAAAGTAATGATAAAAAATAAATTACCTTTATAGTTCATAGGTACATTTCTCTTTTAAGTTCAATTTTGGTAGCTTTGTAACCTTTACATGAAACGTAAATCAAGATGGTGAGTATTATGCTGGGAGACTTCTCCCTAAAATACAACAGCTAAATTTGGAAATAATGTTAAAGATAAACTTTTTACACTTAGCCAATTTGGTTATGTGGTGATTGTCATAAAAATAATATTTAAGTCATCAATACTTTAGATGTTTGATAGAATACCATGTTTCCTTCTGGAAACATCTATTCTTTGGAGTAAGAACTGTTTCATAGTTAAACATAAGAATGAGATTCCACTACTCAATGTGTGATCCTTATTAAAATAATGTTTTAGCATGCTTTAGAGTTCCTTTTCATTGGGAACTTATTTTAAGTCCATTTCATTCAGTAGGGAATCTTTTGTTCAGTGGAAGTACTAAATGACTAATTTTACTTTACATTTTATAAGTAGAAAGAAAAATGTTGGCCATAAGTTCCTTGGTGTCCACATTTGGTAACTTGCCTCTGATACCAACAACAAAGGGATTAGCTGGAATTTTCCTCCTTGGGCCCCACACTGTCTTGTCTCCCTAGTATTTCTTTTTTTACCTGTTCCTTGGGATTATACAATGAAGGTCAGCAACTCACATGTGCCCAGTCTATTTTTTTTTTTTAACTCTACAAAACCACTTTGTTGGGGAGGATAGTGATTCTAGGCACAGAATATCCCCTGTCTTCTGGGATAGCTATCTGTTCATGGTCAGGCTTTTGCTCAGGCATCATCCCTCCCCATGAATATAAGTATATGCTAATGTGGCATATCCTTTTTTAAAAAAAATATTGATTTCAGAAAGAAAGGGAGAGAGAATCACTAGGGATCAAGCCTGCAACCCAGGCATGTGCTTTGACTGGGAATTGAACCGTGACCTCCAGGCTCAGAGGTCAATGCTCAATTACTGAGCCACATCAGCTGGGCTGTGGCATGTCCTTTTTAAACTTGATTCCTACTCATCATCTCTTTAGCATGTCTTAAATCACTGGGTTCCTCCCCACTGTCCTGAGACTCTTTTTTCAAGTATGCTTCCCCTCTTCAATCCTTCTTAACTGATCTCTCCATGTCAGCTCATGCATTCCATTCTGGCTGAGTCCTTTGGGTTCCTCAACTGGACACAAATTACGATGATGTCAACCCCTCATTTCCCTGAATAGTGATTCTTTTTATTTTTGCCCATCTAATTTAGAGAGATGTTACTAAGTTTCTTGTTAATAATGAAATTAACCCATAGCAGAAGGGAAAAAGCCCAATTTTTGCTGATATTCCATACACATCTCCAATAAAATATATCTTATATAGTGTCTTTTATACATATAAACCTGATATATTACATATACTTAATATGTGTAATATATGTGATGTGTAGAGTATTATATAACAATTTATTGCTGATACATATAAATGATATATAAAATATATGCTCTTATGTGCTATATATATATATATATATATATATATATATATATATATAAATAATCTGATTGTGTAGGATAAGAAATTAACAGATGGAGAAATGTTTAATAAAAGAAGGATTGGGTTTTTTTTTTTCTGTAAATATGCAAGTTTAACCGGAATTCAAGCATTTTGCGTCTGTTTTTGAAGATTTTAAATGTAACTATATTAGTGATGATTTATTAAGAGATACTCATCATGATATTTTCCTCTGTATCAGTTTGCACTTTTAGATTTTTAAAAGGAATATTTTCCCATCCCAAATCTAGCTGCTTTTAAGGAAATCTGTCCTGGTGGAATGGGTTATACGGTTTCTGGCGTTCATAGACGCAGGCCAATCCATCACCATATAGGTAAAGGACCTGTATTTGTCAAGCCAAAGAACACTCAACCTGTTGCTAAAAGTACTCATCCTCCACCTCTCCCAGCCAAGGAAGAGCCAGTGGAGGCCCTGACTCTCTCCCGGGAACACAGGCCAGCAGTGGCGGAGCCCGAAGGTGAGAGTGGAAATGGATCGTGGACCTAGCCGTCTGTCTCGTGTGTCTGTGCTTTGGGTTCCCTGTCTGTACCCTTCCAGAGCCGGGGTTTCCTGCCTTGGCACTATTGACATTGGGGGTGAATAAGTCTTTGATGTGGAGGATGCTCTGTGCATTGTAGGATTGTTAGCAACAGCCCTGGCCTCTGACCTCAAGATGCTAGTCGCACCTCTCTTCTAGTTCTTTCAGCCAAAAAGGTGTCCAAACGTTTCTAGATGTCCCTGGAGTGGGATGGGGTTAGGGGCGGGGAGGAAGCGAATGACTCCTGATTGAGAATTACTGCTCTAGAGTCACATGGAACTAGCAGGTAACAATATTCCAATGTGATCTCAGGACGTAGTCTTGTGTCCGGGGCCCCTTTCTCTTGGTGTTTAGTCCTGGAGAGTGCTTCAGATCCTTCAGGGAATAGCCCAAATTCATTCCTGTGTCTAGAGGGTCATTTAATAAATATTACTTACTTTAAAAAGTGGAATCCACAGGCTTAAAGTTAAAGCATCAAAGGAGCTTCCATGAAATAAAGTCCCACGTGCAGCCGGGTTACGAGGAGAAAGGACAGGGTCAATTGAAAGGATCTTGGAGACCCCTTAGTGCAATCCTTTCTTTGATTTATATTTTGGGAAACCTGAGGTCTGGAGTGGGGACCTGACTTGCCAGTTGTCACGCACAGAGCAGGTGATGGTGCCAGGGAGCGTGTTTATTCAAGGAAGTGGTTTAGGCCTTATACTCCAGAGGGGGTCTAGACAGCTGACTCTATCTCTCTGGCTTTCACAAGGAGGATTAGCTCTATCTCTGTCTCTCAATATAAACCAGCATAGCTAATACTTTGACTATCTCTGTTACTACAAAAATTCTCACCCCCCAGTACAAGGAAAACAAATTGTACTTTTGTATAAATATATATTGACTCTGATAAAGCTGGTGTTGGCTTTTCTAACTTGAGTCTTAAGTCAGAATTCCGGGTGCTCATTTATGGATTTTGTAAGGAGAGAAGGTGCCATAGGTTAGTGAAGACGTGAGGGCTTGGCAAGGTGTCTTTTTTGCAGGGCTCTGACCCTTCGTGTGTTCTAGCCTCTCATTCCACTCCTTGTCTTGCTGCACTTCTTTCTTGGTTAGGCAGAGCCGTGGGACCTCACTTGAAGTTGACACTGTTGACCACCTTGTCCTATACACTTGAGGTGTCAGGGCCAGGTGTTTGCAAGTCCTCATCCTCTATGTAAGCAGGAGAAAATCACAAGAATATTGCAACAGTGGTAGCAGTCTGGTGTCTGATTGCTTTTAGAAGTTAATGCATCGACCAAACTTGTATACTAATGTTACTGAGACATTGACTCATGAGAAAAATGTTGGTGAATATTCACCTAAGGTAGTGGTCAGCAAACTGCGGCTCCCGAGCCACATGAGGCTCTTTGGCCCCTCGGGTGTGGCTCTTCCCCAAAATACCACAGCCTGGGCGAGTCTATTTTGAAGAAGTGGCGTTAGAAGAAGTTTAAGTTTAAAAAAGTTGGCTTTTCAAAGAAATTTCAGTTGTTGTACTGTTGATATTTGGCTCTGTTAACTAATGAGTTTGCCGACCACTGACCTAAGGCGTAAGGAATGATTTATGAAAAGCACTCCTTTCAAAATATAAAGGTATAAACCACTCACCCTAGATAATGTTTATGATTGTGTAATATATCATTTCTTCACCGTATTGATGCTAATCTGTCATTGGATCTTACTGGCTTGTGATTTCCCCCTGAAATTTCATTAGCATATATCTTCCTGGAAATGCTCACAGAGCTTCATTAAAAATGAGTATGCACCAAGAATGCAACACCTATTCTTGTCTCATTGAAATAGTGGCATTCTTTTCTTAACATTGACCTCAAATACATATAACAATTATTATTTCAAACATTCTATAATATTAAGGATAAGTGTGACCAATTAAGGGAAATGTTTGTTTTCTAAAATATGGAATGTTCTACAAAATTGAGATTAGGCATAAAATGATGTATTAGAAAGTGTTACCTCCTTGGACATTTTTAGTTAATGAGAGCCATGGGAAGAACTTCATTGCATCTATGAGCTGACCTCCTGTAACTGAGGAATAACATAGCACTGACCATTTCCCCAGTCAGCTTGTGTAATATCCACAATGGTAGTGACCATAAGTCTGCATTTGACTTAGTTTGATTCTTAATCCTTTTGGAGACATACTGAACTTCCATTGCCCTTTAAAACTTAAAATACTATGTGGTAGATTGTTTTAAATTTTACTAATGTCCTTTTTTCTTTCTGATTCTAGTGGCAACTGCACCCCCTGAGAAGGTAATTTATTCATTGTTTGCAAATCTCTTTTGTTTCTTTAATTTCACAATAATTTTCTTTTGGAACATGTATGGGCTTCCATACAGTAACATGTATGTTCATCATTTGGTTGGAGGAAATGGCATTCATTCATTCATTCATTCAAGAAGTATTTAGTGAGCACCTACTGTATGGCTGGCCGTACTCTGAATGCTAGGAAAACAACAGAGAGAAAAACTGGACAAAACTTCCTTTCTTCCTGGAACTTAAACTCCAAGGGAAGAAAATGACGGGACTAATAGAAACTAGGGCTTAACACAGAATTCAGAGTCAACTTAAGGCCTGGGCCATCTACGGAAAGAAAGCTTCCAGCAGGTTTATGTAATTGTATATTCTTATGGCGCATATGTAGTGAGCAATGCACTTTTCAATTCAATTAAAATTTTACATGCATGTTTGAATTTGTTAGAGTCAGAACGGATCTTATCCTTGAAAGTTACAGCTATTCCTAGAATTCTGATTAGAAATTTGAGAGAAATTTTTATAAACCTATTCGTTTTGGGCATAAAATGGGGCTATAAATTGTGAAATTTATTAGTAGGAAATATATACATTTTCTGGAACGAAGTCCTATCTAAGGAATGTTGTTCCTTGTCTGAATCTTGTTTTGATTCTCTATAATAACATGACAATGAAGTAATTATTAAATGTTTATACATTTATAGTTATTTAGTTAGCAAGGCTGCAGTAAGTATTCAAATTTAGATTGGGCAAATCCATATAACAATTATTATAGTTTTAAAAATCTTTGCCTTATGAACATGGGATAGAATAGCATATGTGCTGAAAGAATCCGGGGGCAAGAGGGAGGGGGGAGGAATTTTCAAGTAATAGCACCCAACAAGGTTAGCATCTCCCGAAGTTCAGTGATGTACGGTCGTTTGCAGTTCTGTTGATTTTGGATTTGGTTCTGGTTGATAAAGAGGGAGGAATCCTTCAGGGTGGGAGTGGACCGGCCAGTTCCCTCATAGCCTTGTCTTATCTCGGGCTTGTTCTTCTCTGTTTATGGTGGAGTTCATGCTACCTTTCATTAGGAGTCTGAAAGAGGGCCTGAACATTTTCCTGTCTGCTCTTACTGCAATTCATTTGGAGAAGCGGCAGAGGGGAAAATGCAGCCAGAGTCCTTGTGGTCTGAACTCCCGGCAGAGACCTCATGATATTGAAGATTGATGAAGAGAAAGCCGGGTGGTCTGGGTGGGAAGTTATATGTGCAAAGGTGTGGCTGGGACAGCAAGAGGCCAGTGAGGGGAGCAGGAGAGACGGGTTAGGAAGATAAACATTGGGAGGTTTGGGATACTAGCCTGCAGTTGTCATCAGAGGGGAAGTACTCTGCTCCTCAGCTGGACCCCACCTGTCCAGTGGTGAGGAGGTGGCATTGGTAAGAGAGGCTGCTGCCCAGGCCGATAGGGAAATTCTGTCTGTTAGCTGTGGGAGTGGATTGATGGTCTTCTTGCTGGCATTGACCATGGGCTGCAGGGATTGGGGTGCAATAGATATTGATTGAGGTCAGATTAAATAGGTAATAGAAAGCTAGTCTATGTTCTTTTTAAAAAAAGTATTTTATTGATTTTTTACAGAGAGGAAGGGAGAGGGATAGAGAGCTAGAAACATCGATGAGAGAGAAACATCGATCATCTGCCTCCTGCACACCTCCTACTGGGGATGTGCCCACAACCAAGGTACATGCTCTTGACCAGAATCAAACCTGGGACCCTTGAGTCCGCAGGCTGACACTCTATTTACTGAGCCAAACCGGGCAGGGCTAGTCCGTGCTCTTAAGAAGTGGAAAAAAGTAATAAGTGTTCAGTATTTTTAGAAGATAAATCACAGCAGGATTGACTGAGATAGGGAGAAAAAGGAAGCTGGAGAGGCCAAGTAAATATTTGAATAAACTGAGAATCAGAGAGTGAATCCAGACTTGGGGTAGTGAAGATCATGGATCCAGAAAAGGGTGGACAATAGAAGGAATAGTGCAAATGCACAGGAGTTGGGATGAGAAATGAAGGAGGGACGACTAAAAAGTGACTTTAAACCTGGTAGCTGAGATGACATATGGATGGCTTTGGAAGGGGTGGACTCAAGGGATTTGTGGAATACCTAAATGGAGTTACCCTATAAAAAATCGTGCCTACACAATTGGATCTTTGATGGGATCCTCAGGCAACATGTCTATTTTATAAAAAGTAGGAAAGGGGTAATTCAAACTAGGAGACAGGCTGAAAGGGACATGGAGGCTTGGGCAGTAAGCTTTCTAGAGGATGACAGCAATTAAAGCAAGGGAGGGGGAATGTAATAATGTCTTACCACTATGCAGTACACCCAAAACATTATAAAATAATACTGAATGTCAACTGTATTGAAAAAGGATGAGAACAAAGTGGCAAAGTAGTAGGAGAATTAGGAGTGACGTTATAAAAGCAAAAGGAAAGATAATTTCAAGAGAAGACTTAGGTATCTCTATTTTTTATTTTTTTAAAAATACCTCCAAGTTAGTGTAAAATGAAAGTTGTAAGATGAACAGTAAATAAAAAGAGCATCTATATAATGAAAGCCAAAGTGACCCTTACGGTAGAACGACTGGAACGACCAGTTGCTATGATGTGCACAGACCACCAGGGGCATATGCTCAAGGCAGGAGCTGCCCCCTGGTGGTCATTGTGCTCCCACAGGGGGAGCCTAAAGCTGGGCTCATGGTTGAGCGAGCTTCTGGCTCCGCCATGACTGGCGAGCACAGCAGCCGTGGCGGGAGCCTTTCCCGCCTCCGTGGCTGTGCTGAGGAACAGCCAGCCAAGCGGTAAGAAGCCTGCCCCTAAGGAACAGTGGGCCAGTGCTAAGGAGCGAGCAGGCGGGAGGTAAGGAGCGACGGATCCCGGATTGTGAGAGGGATGGATTGGGCCTAAGCCAGCAGTCAGACATCCCCCAAGGGGTCCTGGACTGTGAGAGGGAGCAGGCAGGACTGAGGAATTGCCCCCTCCCCTTCCCCCCACCCCCCGCCCCGCATTGTACGAATTTCATGCCCGGGCCTCTAGTGTAATGATAAAATAATAAGTGGATGGGTAGGGAGGGGCTAAGTAGGGTAACAGTGACCGAGTAACCTGTACTTTTAATGAAGCGATGATAGGAGCATTCACACGAGTGAACGAGGTCACAGGTGCTTAACAAGCCCCAACTTTGGTCTGCATGAGTCTTACAGAGCTGGAGTTAGAACTGATCAAGAGTCTCTTTCTTTGCTTGCGGACCAGGGGATGGGAGTGGGCAACCAGACACGGGAAGCCTGGGTGCTCCTCCCAGGCTCCGCCTTTCTGTTTCTCTGCTGGACTGCCCTTCCTGGGAGAGCTGGAGGTGCTGAGTGATTACTAGTAGATGTGAGGTGCAGGGCGGCCATACTGACTGGCCAGCATAACACATTTTAATATTGTGTGTTTTGTGAGGACACATTTGCTATAGCCATTATCTAATCTGGGGCAGAGCCACATGGGAATGAGGCGACCGTTTAGTTCTCCTTCAGGGTTTGTTCTGTTCCAGGCCAAATGTGCGCCCCTGAGCCAAGGTATCGGTTTCCAACGTCTGAAGGGACTCTGCTCTGGGCCCTCTAAGACAGATGAGAGCGTGTGCATGGGGTAGCACTACAGGAGACACTCAGCAGCTTGCCATAATAGTGGCACAGTGATAGTTCATTAAAAAAAAAAAAAATCACACAATTGCACAGTTTTTGTCTAATGTC